GTTAAAGAAGATAAAAGTTTATTTAAATAAAATATTACTATTTTATTTATTTAGTTTTCTTAGTCGAAACTAATTAAATTGTTAGAAAGTTACTTTTACAGTGCATTGCATTGAATTCAAGCTCCTTATATTAATTAGTAATTCTAATATTTCAAAATTGAAATTTCTGTTCAATATTGAAAAGTTATTTCAATATTGTAATAATATTTCAAAATTGTAACAATATTTCAAAATTGTAACAATATTTCAAAATTGAAATATTGGAAAGACGTTTCTTCCTTAATAAAGTTAAATAAATTACAACATTATAAATAAGATTATAAAAATAGAAATAAATAAAATAAAATAATAATAAAAATTAAGAATTTCAGAATTAGTTAAATTCAACCAAAAGAGCACTTCCTAGTTGCAGAGCCATCTTTAGTGTTGAATGTAAAAATAGCTTATAAAATAGGAAACTCAGAGTGCACATTCGCAGTATAAACAACCTTTGGATTTGACCTAGTTAAATCTTCATCTTCATCATCCTGATAATACAATAATAATAACATATAATATTGTAACAAAAATATTATTGCTAATAAAACACATAACACTTTTACATAAAACATCTTGAGTGTGAAAATAATAATTAAACTTGCTCTATAAACCTTTGCTGAAAAAGCAAACCTTAATGATTTTAATTGTTGATATATTGCCAGAGGGACACCTTTGGATAATATTGGTCTATTTTTAGCATGAACTCAGCTAGCTTAACTTAATTAAATAAAGGAAATCCTTGGTTATATTGGTCTTGCAAGACAATATACTAGATTGTGATCTGAGTATAGTGCTTTAGAAAAGCCTCAGATTCTTTCAGATTACAATCTGTTGGAAAGGCTATACTAGATAGAGCATAAGAGGAATATACTCTGCAGAATATGGTGCAGATCATCTATAATCATTAATTGCTTATAATAAAAATTGGTCAACTTCAAAATACTAAAACAAAAAAAAATTATATCATTTTAAAAAATTTAACCAATAGGTTTTATTTTTCATGACTCAAGCTTCAAAATTTATCAGCTGGTTTTTTCTTAAATTGAAAATTGGCTGAGCCTTAACATTTTGAAAATTCCAAATTTATCTTTATTTTATATTATAATTATAAGAAACAAAGCCAATCACCTATTTATAAGCCAGAAAATTCTAGAAGCTTGTTAGTTGCAAACATGTAAAATATTCAATGCCACAAAAGACAATATAAAAGTTATCAGGTAATAAATACAAGTACAAGTACAATTACTATTTGAGACATATTGCTCAGTAAACTCAAAATTCAAATATACAAATTCATATACAATTCGGTATAAATTCTATTTCCATCTAGAACACTAAATTTCAATTCTTTAAATTTCAATTCTTTAAATTTCAATACTTTCTAGCTTAACACAATTATTGAATATTTCCATTAACCTATAGTTTACTTCATCCTCATAAACTATTGATAAATGTGCTAGAATTTTACAACATTGTGCAATGAATTGAAGTAGTTCTTTCAAAAGTTCAATACCACCCTCCCGAATATCACCAAGATCCAAATGTTTAAATTTTTTCCATTGTTGTTAAAAAAATCAAACAGGTGGTCTGATGTAAATGGTCGATTGTGGATATATAATGTCATAGATTCAAGATTAGGCAATAAAGTATCTCTCAAACACTCTACTGTTTGAGTAAACTGTTATTGATTGTGAACGTGAGTGTATTAAAGACTAGTACCGTAAATTATGATGATGGTTGTAATTGTATCTACGGCATATAAAAAGTGATTGCAATTACCTTTGTGACCACTTTTGCAACCATATTTTTTCCTTTTTTGGATTACGGCACTAGTCTTTAGAGTGTATTGCTTGTTTGAAATCATCTGATAAAGATTGACCAGTATGCGAATAAATGGCTAGTTGTTTTATTTCATTTTGTGCTTTAATTAGTTGAGCCAGACTATCTTCAAATTTATCATTGTATCTATATAATTTATTCTTAATGTTTGAATATATTTGCAAGTATAATAAATTCAATGCTACAAATGTTTAATCCAGAAGAAGCCTTCACCAGAATTTCAAAATCGTACTTAATGTGAAAGGTGCTTTTCAACAAAGACTTGTTAAAGGTTTATTCGTTAAAGATCAGGTTATTTATTGTAAAGTGTTGTGTGTCTTTATTAGCAATAATATGTTAGTTACAAGGTTATTATTGTATTATTATTATTATTGTATCATGAACATGATGATTCTCACTTGGTCTAAAATCAAGCCTTTTTATACCCCTTGAGGTATTACAAATAACATGGCTTTTACAATATTTTGTCCAATAAAATATGCTCATTAATCCTATTTTCTTTATTACTAGCCTACTAATTGCTAATCACTAATGTTACTAAATATTTGGGTCAACTGTGCATAAAAATTTTTGACTCTAATAATAACTACGGATTATAAAAAATTCCCGCTAATCCGAAACCCCGTTAATCCAAAGAAAAGTTCCTTCACAATTGCCTTCGGTTTAACGAGGTTGCCTATGTATATAAAAGTTTGAATGATCATTCGTTAATTACTTGACCCACTTTGATTGATGGGACTGGTTTGATAATATAAATAATTCGTGTAACATTTTACGTGATATTCGAATGTCCACTATATTGTAATTAATTGGATGAAATTCAATTAACCAATCGGGGAATCTGGCTGATATAACGTAAAATAAAACATTATATTAATTAGTATTAGTTATTATCAATAAGCAGGGTCATTATATCAATTACAATTTAATCTTGCTTGATTATGCCTACTTTTACATAAAAATTGCTTTACCTGATTTGGATATACCCAAAATAGTACCAAATTTAACTAGTGCTTCTTGATGAAATCAAAGATTATACAAAGTATTTCCTACTTCTGCCTTATTATAATTGATTAATATTTGTATTTCCAGGTAAAGTTTGCTTATTATTGGTTTTTTTTTTATTTAAAAGATAAAATTTGATTATAAACTTGTTATAATTTTTAATATTTTTTTCTATTATTAATTGTATTTATTAACTATTATTATTCTAACAGAATATATATATATTCATATTATTATTAATATTAAAAACAAAAAATTAAATAAATAATATTTTATATATCACACACAAAGGAAGAAAACAAAAAAACTAATAAAAATAAATTAATAGAACGCATTTTATAAATTCTATATATGATTTATATAAAAATTGTCTTTTAAATTAAAAGTAATAAACTAATATATAATAATTGTTCTCATTATTATTAATACCCAATTCTCCCCTCCCATATATATTGAATGTAAATTGCAACGTTTCGCGATGACAGATCAGTTATCTTTAGTTTGTTGTTACTAACATAGTTTTGTGTCTCTGATATGAATATTCAGTAACATGTTATTTAGGATTTGTTTCGCCACTAATTAATTACAAACAAATTTTTTTTTTCAAAAATATTATCTTAAAAGTTCACCAATTTTATCATTACTATACAAATCATACATTATTGGTACAAAAACTTCAATATCCAATTCTTCATGTTCGTCATCAAATGTAACTTCAACTTGAATTTTATCCTTTCCTCCCATTCTTTTTAATTCTTCACTAGGTTTATAGATTAATGAATTTAGTACTGCGTTGACATCTTTTTTAGTTGTATTATGAATTATAATCGATGTTTCACTCCACTCCCCCCCATGATGATTAAGTGATAGTTTTCCTTCTTTTGCTCTGGCAATTATAGCACTCTTACGTGCTTTAGCTGATCCACCACGTATAAAAATCACATTTAATCCTTGAAATTGTCCATTAACTGATCCTGCATATTTATCAACTTCTTCTGCAGCAGTTTCTGGAACAAATAGATATTTTCTAGGACCTTCCAATTGAAACTTGTATTCCATTTTCCTATTTTTATAATAATCTGTTTTACCACTTACGGATGATAAAGGCGCTGGAGGGTGTGGTATGTCTAATGAAAATTTCTTAATTACCAAAGCAACTACACTATTATCCTCTATCAGTAAATGATTTGTCATTTTGCCAAATAAATGTATACTCCATGATAAATTTTCTATTTTAGATAACTCCCTATAGGCCGTTGGGTCTGGTTTTAATAATTTATCAATATGTAAATAATTACGTGGATATAAAATTCTATTGGGAAGGATAAGTAATCCATTTTTCTCTAAAATTTCTCGATACTCTTTAACATACATCGTAATGGCACGAGGTCCAACGCAATTGAAACATGATGTTGTATATGTTGGTGAAAATGCCCTTTCCGCAATCTCTCTAAACATTGACCATCCTTTACGAAATCTCATAACCCCCGGTGCAAGATATGTTCCATCTTCATCCAGTGTCCATTCTGAATCTGATGGAACATTTGATGCATCTGATCCTATAAATTGAAGTTTAGGATCCGGCGGTGCCCTGATCCAAAGTGCATCCATGTCCATATATGTTCCACCATATTTATACAGTAGAAGATACCTCATATAATCTGTGAGATGTGAAAAGAAAAATTGCGACTCTTTCTCCCATTTACTCCAATAATGTAACCAATTTTTAGAATTTTGTCCAAGAAACCATTGTCTTTCTAATAACAATTCCTTATTAAATTTAATCACATGAATTTGATAGCCTTGATTCTGATATTCTTCAAAAAAATCTTCTGGTAAAGTTGTCGTCAGAACAAATACAATGGCTTTTGGTGTATGAACCCATATAAGTTCTATTGTTTTATAGTGTCGTTCTTGAAATGTGGATGGATCGGTTGTCCAACACACCCAATGTAATAAATACCATTGATCTGTCAATGAGTAGATCGATGAATGTTGTGACAAAAGATCTAATATTATCCATTCATCCTCTTTGCTACCCATAGTCACATTAATAATAGGTTCATCAAAAACTGTGACAGATGTGGATGGATTCTCAATGGTCAAAGCTGGTTGAGCCAACAATGTTATACCTTTGACTTCATCACAATCAAAATTCCAATCCCTCCAATGATTTTCTCTGCCCCAACATGTATAACACAATGCACAATACCTTTGTCTAAATCCTTCGCACATTCTCCTATTGTTGACAACATTCTCATATATGTCCTTCATACTTTTATCAGGCTCGTATGAATCACTAAAATGTTTTGCAATCATATCATCCTCGCAAACATCAGCTTGTTGAATACGTTTATCGTGAATTGGTTTGATATTATGTGGAAAAAGCCATATTCCTAAATTTTGATCTTCATTTTTGGTGAAAAGACGCGGTGCGTCAGTAACTATAAGCGATAATATGTCACGAGATAGTATGTAAAGGGCTCCAGCTGTAAACGGAGGGAACATTGGTAATTTATAATCAAATGCAGAATTTTTATTTTGCGTATTATGGATTGGTGGAATATTCCTAAATATATAAATATATATATATGTATATATATAAATTGATGTATGTGTAATTGATTTTTTAATCATTAAAAAAAAATAAAATTTTTACCAATATCCTAAACCTCTCCAATAATATTTTTTACCAGGTCCCAATTCTTCCAATTCTTTAGCAACAGTATCCATTCGTACAAAAATATCATCATCTGTTTTGACCATATAATCAAAAGAATATTTTGAAGTCCATTCAAATCCTTTATAAACTTTATGACTAAGATCATAATATGTATCGGAAGTTGGGACAATAACAATATCACCATATCTTTCAGATTCCGCCAAAAGTTTATGACCCATGTTCATTTGTGCTTTAGCTGATGGAGCATCACCTAATATAAATCTATATGAAATCGAGATACCATCAGAACTATGAGGTATTAATCTTACCGTAGTTTCACGAAATGTTTGTCTTTTACGATAACCACTTTCTGTCCACGATGAGAATACCAACATTATCACTTTAACTTTTGCATCTGGACGAATTTCACCAAGTGTCAAATTAGTATTCAATTTATAATAATTACTAACACCATTAACAACACCAGTGTGACTATATTTTGATTTGTATCGGAAATTTGATTGTTGTTCCAATAGGAAAATCATTGTGATAAATGATGTGATTGCAAGTGGAATTATAATATATTTTAAAATTTCCCGCCATGTTGATTTCCACGTTTCCTGCGTGTCATTGTTATTACTCTTGTGATAATGATGGTGGTGGTGACGACGATATTTTGTGGTGGATGTAAATAACCATTGAATAATGTTACTAACTGCCAGCACTAAACTACATACTAGCCATGACCATACTGGTTCATCGGGTCCATAATGTGAGATTACTAAAGCTGTTATAACCCAATTTATTGCTTGTAACGAAATCAATCGAATAATTGCACTACTGACTTCGTAATAAAAAAGCCATCTATGCATTAACCCATCAGCTAACCAATAACTCCAAATACCAGCAACACAGCACTAAGTAAATCAGAAAATTGATTAATTAATTAACTTTTATTTTCTCTCTTTCAAAAATCAAATAATAATAATACATACCCACATTGCACCTAGCCAGTAGTCTAATTCAGTACTTCTGAGTTCAAAGATACCACCAGCATTTCGTTCTGCTATATTATTAGCATCTGAAATTGAATAAAGCCCATAAATGGCAGGAACTAGACTGAGTCCTCTTAGAAAAATAAGTGGGAGGTGAAGTCTTTGTGGTATTCCTATACCAAACGAACGATTTCTATAAGACGGAAGATGTGTCTACTTTAACATAAAAAAATAAAAAAATGTTTTTTTTTAATTCAATGCATATAAAAAAAATATATATATACATTTTATAAAAAAATTATTATACATTGAAAATCAAAAGGAGATAACGGTCAAGCTTACCGTTACCATTATATAATGAAATTTTGATCAATTGATCGAACCTTTAAAGAATTTTATTTTTATTTTTATTTTTATTTTTTTTAAAAAAAAATTGTTATACATACTGAAACAAAAAACATAGTGGGTTTGTTTTATCACTTTGTGACGATCTTGAAATTATGGTGTGTAACCACTAATTTATATTTGTGTAATAATAAATCTTGTAATTAATTAATTATTAATTGGAGAGAAAGGCATTTACGATCTCATCAAGATAACGTTGATACCCATGAAGTTTCATTAGAAATGATCTGATCTATATAGTAATTTTATCTTTCCAAGAGATATCTTTTTTACTTTTTTTTGTTTAAAAAAAAAACTATGTATATAATAAAGATAACTTCAATACCTATAAAGCTTTATTAGTAAGGATTTTTTTCTAAATTTATATAATTTCTAATTTTTATTAATTAAATACAGCTCATTCTCTAATGCATCTTTCTATAACAGTATTACGAGTAACGGACTGAAAATTTATATAATAATAAATCATTACTATCACTGTCTATAATAGATTCTCTATATAGCAGACATTTTTTTAATACTAATACTAATATGGCCCATTATAGAAAGAGTGAACTGTGTTTATTACAGGTAAATTCTACCAATTTTTTATTTCATTTTTTAAATTTAAAAATAAGTTATATACGTGTTCTTTGTTTATATTAATTGAATTATATTCATCCTCATCCTCATCTTCATTAGCTTCATTATCTTCTGGCTCAACTATATTGTCAGATTTTTCTAATTGTAATACAAAAAAAGTAACATTTTTAAAAACGCCTTTTTTGTAAAATTCCATACAATGCTTGCAACTTTTTTCTAAATCTTTTTTTAGTGAATATGCTGTATGGTAGTAGGTAATAATTTTAAACCAATTGTTTCGCCTAGAGTGCTTAATTTATAACTTAATAATTTTCCCTCATAATTTGGCTTACTTGTATCCAAATTTTTGTAAATATTAAAGAAATACTCTATTAGAAAACAGCTTGTCTTTTTAGTCGGATAATATCAGCTTTTGAATAAGTTATATTTTGTAAAAGTCTTCGTGTTTAATAAAATACCGAAGCCCAATAAAAGAAAAAGACTAATTCATAATGCACGTGCAGTCAAAAAAATGAAAACTAATTCCTCAGAACCTTTACTCCTTGTAGAATCTCCTGTAAGATTAATTGAACGAGAAAATAATGTTA